TCCCATCAATTCTGACCATCTTCCCTGTCCCTGCTGACGAAAAGCAGGCCCAAACCATGATGCTGCCACCACCATGTTTGACAGTGGGGATGGTGTGTTCAGGGTGATGAGCTGTGTTGCTTTTACGCCAAACATATCGTTTTGCATTGTGGCCAAACAGTTCGATTTTGGTTTAATCTGACCAGAGCACCTTCTTCCACATGTTTGGTGTGTGTTAAATGTGTCAAATTTACTTACCCCTTAGACACAATGGTACATGCTCTGTTCAACCTCTGCTCGACTGCCTGGCTGACAACAGGGACTGGATGGCTTTACATTTCTTAAGTTTCAGCAAGAAGAAATCTTAAATCATGCTGTTTCCTCCCAATTACACAATCGTCAACCACTGCTTCGACCTTTCCTCTCTAGCCCCGTTAGAGAAACAAAGAGTCACTAATTTGGGAGTGATAATGAACCCTTCCTTGAAACTTAACAGTCATGTAAACATGATTGTTAAATCCTGTTTTTTCCAGCCGAGGCGTCTGTCTAAGCTGAAACCCATATTATTGAAAAATAACCTGGAGACAGTAATACATGCATTCATAACATCCAGGCTCGATTACTGCAATTCACTCCTGTTTGGTATCAGTCAGACCTCCATTGCCAGACTACAACTGGTCCAGAATGCTGCAGCCCAAGTTTTAACCAGTACAGGCAAAATAGAGCACATTACACCAGTTTTGGCCTCACTGCACTGGTTACTGGTTCACCTTCGAATCCAGTTTAAAATCCTTTTGTACGTTTTTAAATCACTGAACAGTTCTGGCCCTCCTATCTCACTGATCTGCAGCAGCCGTATGTCCCACCGCGTTCTCTGAGGTCTGCAGACCAGTTGCTTCTCTCAGTTCCAGTAACCCGTCTTAAGCGCAGAGGTAACAGGACCTTCTCTGTAGCAGGCCCTAGACCAGGCATGGACAAACCCCAGCCCACGGGCCATATACAGCCCCAGGAAGGAACAAACCCTGGCCCACGGGACATATACGGCCTGTTGGGATTTTTAATTGGCCCACTGAAATTGTCCAAAAATTGGACAATTAAAAAAAAAAAATATATATATATTTTTTTAATACTTTATTTTTCATGGGTGCTGAGGTAAAATTTAGGGGTACTTTAGCACCCTCAAAAAGAGGTTAAAATCGCCACTGGTTTAAATTATATTTAAAAAACTGAATTTAATAGGAAAAAACTGGTGTCATTTTACCTGTAGTTCCAGCATTTCTCCAGTAGAGGCACACTACAGACACTGACGTGTATTACAGGCAAATTAACAGTGGAGAAGAAGTAATTTCTTCTTCTACGCTTTTATTTTTACTTTGCCCTATGAACTCGTCTGTACAAACGTGTTTTTCAAAGAAAAGTGTACAGTGAGTGTCAAGTGTTTAAAATGGGGTGAACAACAACATATTGTTTCACTGAGGTCCAGTCAAAGGCAGTTTTTATGCCAAGAAACTGTTGCGGTTTTCAAAGAGTACACTTTGCTAACTGCTAACTATGCTAGTGTTAAAGACGGGAGATGGCTGTGGGTCACCGGACCCGGAAACCACCTCCAGCCCACGTCTTTCCCCCCCGGCTCAAATCTCTCTCAGAAGTGGCAACTCTCTTTATCAATAAATCAAGGAAATGTCAATTAAGTTTTATCAATTATATTCAAATCAAGGCAAGAAAAGGTTACAATTCACAGTGCTGGTCTCTCTGGTCTGTGACGCGTTCACAGACCCCGAAGAGCCCCGATGTCCAGTGTCATTGCTCATTTATAGGGTCCTAGACTCCTCCTTTGCAGAAGGGGAGTTCAACCTGTCAGTGTATGAGGGGGCATGACTAAATGTGATCTCAATGGATCTTATGTGGTTCTGATGCGTTAGGAAATATGAGACGTGCTTCAAAAGCCTTTCTATGTGATGTGGCAAGCAGATTAAACTCTATTCCTTGACTGATATTGAAATCCCAGGGAGACTCTCAGAGCTGCTGGCCCAGTTTAACCCAGTCAGAACCGGGTCATAATTTCATTATAATCCCGTCTCTGAGCAGATCAAAACCATAGGACCAGTCTAGATAAAAAATATCCAACACTAGCAAGCCTTTCTGCTATGGTGATTTTTTAAAAGAAACATGGTAAAAACAGAGAAGGTCTGTTGTGTCCGGAGGGCCAAGTTAAGTTAGAAAAACATCAGTTTATCACGCAGCACTGTGACTCGCCTTGTGGAACTGATTGATGAAGATTTAGCAAAAAAAACTAAAAAACAGAGAGTCCTTTAAGTTACGGTTTAATGGATGAAAGTAATAAAGGACACTGCTCATCTACTATTTTTTTTTTTAAATCTGCAGGATTAACAACAGTTTTGAGATAATGGAGGTGTTTTTGACCCTGGAGTCTCTGAAAGGAAAAACCCAGAGAGGATTTTTATAACCGTCTGCTGTCATTAGAGAATGAAGCTTCTGTGGAGTAAAGTTGTCACAACGGACAGATCACCAGATTTAAGTGGAAAACATATCGGGCTGCTGACAAGAATCCAGGATAAAGTGAAAGGAAAACCTCG